CTGAGCCAAATCCCCTTACACAAACACCTCGGCAACCTTGTGACTTGTAAGGAGAGGCCAACCCCAAATCCTCCAGCCTCCTCCCAGGAACCCCACTGTCCCCCCAGACTTGGTTTCCTCCACGGCCCTGTCTGTAACAGCACCAATCCTGCTGCAGAAAGCCAGCACGTTTGCACAAAAAGAGGATGCGCGACAAAGGCAGAGCCCCAACCATCCCCAAATGGCCCTCACTAGTTGCTGAATAAAACCTTTTCTCATTGGAAAAACCCCCAAACAAAACAAACCGGAGCGGCTGGAACTCAGACATCGTGTTTCATAACATGAGGAAATCCCAAGTGCATGGAAAGGAGTTGGAGCTGGACACTCCCGTGGCCAGGACAAGAGCGAGTGTGTACAAATGAGCTCCAAAAATTCGGAGAAGTGCCTTGCTAACAAATCTGTTTCCATGCACCAGACTCCCAACGAACACGCCCTTGGACAGCAGCTGCCATCAGGGCGAGCTGTTACTCTAAAGAGGGAGCTCGCACCCATAAAAAGAGGAAAAACAGATTAAATACCCCATGCACCCACGTTTATTCTGATCCCCACTAAGGTTGGGAAGAGGCTTGGCTTTGCAGGTAGTCTCAGGTGCAGACTGGGAACAAGAAACTATATATCACCTAAAGGAAAATCAGGCAGAAACCTGTAACATCCTTGGTGCCCTTTGTAGAAGTTATTTCAGTTGTACCGAGCCACGTTTGAAACGGCCACAATACAGGATGACGAAGCATGAAAAAGTTTTCCGGGAAACGAGGGGTACTGCGGGGTTTTTTTTTAAACTTGACTTTTTAGGTTGCCAGGAAGTTGTATTCCGTTGTGATCTGCGACTTCAGCAAACATCAATTGCTGCACAAATATAGACCTGCTGGTTTCCTGATCGAGCACCCTTTTGATGTCATTTTTAGATAATTGGGCACGGACTTTAACCTCCCTTGTAACAGTGTCACATGGATGTAGCTGTAGGAAGAGTTTATGTGAGCGATTCCAGACCAACAGCTGCCAAAATGTTTTTACTCTTTGGTTTTTTTTTTTTTTTGCTTTGCAGATGAATTTTTCCTGCTCTTCTTCCCCACCTGGCAGAAAGGCTATCTGAAATCGCACGGCAAATATGTCAATCCATGGCCTCTCCTGGTGCTCTGCAGTGAAAACTACCCTGTTTCCTCTGGTTTTAATATAAAAGTACTCCCTGTGAACACACAGCACTTAACCTCTGAAAAAAACAACCTGCCCCAGTAACGGTTTTTGTTGGAGTTGGGGTTTCTGCCCGCACTTCTGCGCAAGGCGGAGCTGCAAAGCTGGGGCAGAGCTCGTCCGGCAGCCCACGCTGCCTGCTCGGCTGCCTGCTCCCCACGGGCTGGCCACCTCTCCAGCTTTCCAGGGCCACTACCTCCCCTCCGTGGCATGGCAGGGTGGCCTTGCAGCTCACCCCCTCCCCGGGCCACTCGGGAGCCCCGGTTGGAGCCGTGCATGGTGTTCCCTCCACACCAGGCAGGACTTTCCAGCTGTGCTGGCACCCGGTAGCATCCACAGAGAGGCTCTGCGGCTCGGAGTCCCCGCCTGCCCCAGCTGAGCAGCCCAGGAGAGGGAAGGCGAGAGGAGATGGAGAGTGCTGGTCTCAGCAGATGACAGCAGCCACGAGCAAAGGGCTCTGCCCCCGGCACTGCGCAGGAGTCACCTGAGCCGGAGCTGCCTGGTGCCTGCTACGAGATAGATGTGACAGGTGCGATCCTGCGCTCTGCGGGTGCTGGGGGCTGCTGAGGTGCCCGGGCTCTGGGTCAGCAGCTCCCCCCTCGCACGCACGCAGCACATCGTGAGATGGGGGTGCAGCTGCTGTAAGCCCTCGCCTGCAGGTTAAGGGCATAAAAAACCCAGATGATGCAACTTGACGGTTTGTTCCTGCGAAAGCAAGAAGAGTCTCGGAGACGGTGCTTGACATTTTTGTGGATTATTTTTAAGCCACCCCACCGAATCGGTGAGAGGAGGTTGGCCAGGGAAGGGCACCGAGAGCAGGGCTTTGTGTCCATCCTGCGCTCTCTGCCTGCAGTTCCATGACTAAAACCAAAGCACGGCACAAAGAGATGAGTTGCTGTTGTTAATTCAGCTTTCTGGGGTATTTCTTCTGCAAGAAATACTACGATATCCTTTCCGGGATGTCCTTGGGCTGGATTCATTCCTGACAGTGGTGTAAATCCATGAGAAGAAACCCACTGGCACCAGCCAAGCAAGCCAGCATAAATGAGGGAAGAACTGAGTTATCCCATCGCTGGCTCATGCCAAAGGCATCGCTCCCAAAACCAATCCATACGAGTTATTTTTGCAATTTATATCACGGTGGCATCAGAAGCGAAACATGAGTTTCACACTTCCAGCCTGGTTTACACTCACGTTTTGCAGCTCAGCAGAGATACCAAATTAGGGGGACAGGACAGCTTGTTATTTCTCCCCTCCCTTGCCCCTGTATTTTAAGGGCCCACAAACCACATAGGTTTCATGTCTTCACAAAAAAAAAAAAAAAACAAAAAACAAAAAACCCAACAGCTGAATCGCGGTGGTGCTTTTACAAACTGCACAGAAGTGTCTTGCCCAGTTACAGCAACTTCGTTTAAAGCAAGCAGCTCTTTTATCGCATACTCCTCCCCAGCAAGGCATGGATGAACGCCTCCCCGGAGACAACCTGCACCTCCAGACCTCCGCTCTTTTTCTCCCTTTCCACGTTATCTTCCAAGCCCTGGCTGGCAGCACTTCCACTTCTCCCTGACCCGCAGGAACAAAACCATCTTACTGGAAATAAACTGCTCAGATCCACGTGAAACTTGGGGAGCTGCATCTGACGCCCCCTCCCGCAAGCGATCACTGGAGGATTCAGTGATCGACGAAGAGCAGCCGGTGAGCCGGTCAGTCGATGCTGGGGTGGGTGCGAAGCCCCTTGGGCCAGCAGCCGCCAGCTGGAAGCAGTTTCTCTGCTGTGGATTAATTTCATGGATGCCGGCGGATAATAACAACTCTCAGTCACTACCAACTTGGGCTGCTTTGCCGTCTCCCCACTGTTTTAAAAAAGCTCTCATTCTTGCCACAAAATGTTGGGAGCTGAAATAAGGGGGGGTGGAGAGGGAGAGACAAACCACAGCTACCAGTATCGCATGTACTAGAGCCTGAAGTCCACCAGCAGCCCACCTTACCGGGAGCTTTCTTTGTGCATAAGCAGCAAAACCTCATTTAAGGAAAGGAACAGGAATAATTGCGCGGCCAGATGAGGGGAGAAAACGACCAGTTTAACTTGCTAACAAATTTGTGGCATCTCAATCAATCTGCACTAGGATGGATTATTGGGGTGTGATCCCACAGACGTGAAAACCTACGTGTGAAGGCAAAGCACCACACTGCCCTTCTCCGAGTTCAACCCATCCCAGGCAGAGACGGAGGAGGAGGACAGACTTGGGGAAGGCTGCTAGGTATGTGGACATGGCCAAGCTTGCGGTCTGAGCGAGGCCCAGCTCCAGTAAGGAAGTACAACACCCCAGTTAAGAGTCAGCACAAGGTGGCCTGAGCAAGCGTGGCATTTGAACAAGCCCGAGTCTGCCAGCGCTCGTCCTCCAGCACCGCCAACATTCG